GTGTGACTATTGTCTGCACTTACTTCCTTTTAAACGCAGAGGATTACCGGTGGCAATGGACAAGTTTTATGTCTGCCGCATCCACTGCTATATACGTGTACGCGTATTCATTCTACTATTTCTTCTTTAAAACAAAGTAAGTTTTTAATTGACTTAAATTCATATGTAGGTACTTGTCTTGCAACAGATGCGTTTCTTATTTTTATTTTCAGAATGTATGGCCTGTTCCAAACAGCCTTTTATTTTGGCTATATGGCATTGTTTAGTGGAGCTCTCGGAATTATATGTGGTACCGTCGGCTATTTAGGCACAAGCGTATTTGTACGAAAAATTTACTCTAATGTTAAAATAGACTAGATTTCATATATATAGATTGGTTCAATTTATTTTTTATCGGACTAATTAAACATTAACGCTTCTTTAGTTCAAGCTTGAATAATTTATTATTACCAATTTTTCAATGCAGACATCTCTCCGCTAGTTAAAATATACGTAAGCAATATGAAGTATGTATATGGTAAAGTGGAACAAATTAAATGGCATTCGTATATTGTAAATTTCAGATTAGCCAGCAGACATAATTTATTAGATAAATACGTATGTGTTTATATAATTTTTTTTTGGTATCAATTAATGCCCAAAGCAGTAACAATTATTTACAGCTTTTTCAAAAACGTTAGACCTAGCCAGAGTTATTAAAATTATTCTAGGTGATGTATGCCAAGCATAAATGGAACAGCGACCGTAATCTACGGTAGAAATTGGGTCTTAAATACAAAAAACAGCAGTTCTTTAGTTTTGATATATCACGCCCTAAAAATGGGGTCATACCCAAAACACATTTCATACACCACGCACAGACTAAGCTCTGAAAAGCGCAAACGATTATAAAAAATTACTATTTAATCTTGTATTATATATTAATAATTTTGAAATAAAACCGTACCTACAGACAGTTATACCTTTGTAAACTTTAGGTTAAATTTTTTTAATATTTTTCGAACTACATACTTATTTTCCGTAAATAACCCGTTTTGAAACTAGAGCATTTTGCCCAGGGTAAACTTGAAATTATTTTTTTCTTTTTTCAAGAAATGTATGCATATATATATTTTAAGTGATCTAATAGAATTTCTATGGAAAATAAATTAATACCTATTTGCCGTTCACATTTGTGTTGTGTTTTGGCCGTGCTTCTCCAAATTGTAGTCTAAGTTTTACTGTTGGGACAATGGAAGTACTTTGATGCCTCCAAACGAGAAATTATTTTTTAGGAGAAGTTGTTTTCATTGCAGTACTCTTGGAAGTTTGTCATTGTCTACCGGGTGGTGGCTACTGTAAGACAAAAAAAAAGTTTCCTCTGAAAAAAAATAAGGGCAACTATATATGGCCAACAAATATTCACCCTCATTGCGAGAGTCGTGTCAAATGCCAGTCGTTTTTCGAGAGTCGAATCGTATCGAAAATTGCACGTCATTGCCTAAAATTTCCACTCGACTAGTGTATTAAAACGGAAAAACTTGGCAGCACTGTATAGTTTTCGACGATTTTGGTCGTTTACTTATTTCATTACGACAATAGACAATGCTACTGTTGTCGAGTCGTACAATTTAGCCTAATTTACGACCTACGCAATGAGGCTGATTAAATATCTCGCATCTCAATTTCGGATAAAACATCAAAATGGTAAAAAAAATTACAGTAAGGCGTATCACGAAAAAAAGTTAACGTGTGTCAGTTTTATTTGAATACTTATGTCGAGAAAAAGTTTAGGGTGCAATTTTCTTTTTATGCGACCGCTAAATCGCGTTTTTTTGCTATAACTTTCTTATTTGCTATCCGATTTTTTTAATTTTTATGTCACCGAAAAGGCCCCGCTCAGGACTATATTTGAATAAAGCCTAACCCTTTTTAGCAAGGTCGTCATCGTTTTTTGAGAGCTTTAGATTTACCTATGTAAAAATAAAAATCTAGGGATAGCAATTGCAAAATTAGTGGTGTAAATTAAAACGGTTTTGAAGGCCAATAATTCTGAGCGAGACCTTTTATGCGGCGTAGATTCTAAAAATCGGATATAAAATAAGAAAGTTGTAGCAAAAACGCGATTTAGCTGGTACCTAAACAATTTTTTTAACCCAAAATTTTCTCGACATAATTGTTTAAATAAAACTCAAACGTTAAACTTTTTTTCTTTCATATGTCGTGATACGGCTTAATGTACAGTAAAGGCCCGTCCACATAGAACTTCGGCGTTGCGTTGGCGTCGCTTTAACAGCTGACTATGAATACATGAATTCAAATGCAGCCGTCCACATAGCCAAAATTCGACAACGCTCACGCCAACACAAAGCAAAAAGATGGCCAACTCTCAACTTTTCGCGTGTGTCGCTCGTCAGCTGTTGCAAATAAATAAAATTATGTGAAATATGTTTCCTTTTTAATCGAGTGCGGGCAAGAAATATCGTTTTTAGTGCATTATAAGCTGGCCTCGAATCGTCACGTACGATAGTGTACTACTCGTCACGTAAACTTTTCGGATTATGACATACGTGAACGTACTCTTTGTCCCATTCAGCTTATACTGCCCTTCGAGCCCTGAATGGGACAAGAAGTACGTTCACGTATGTCATTATCCGAAAAATGTGTTTTTACGTGACGAGTAGTACGATACCGTATGTGACGATTCGAGCCCAGGATCGCGCATCGCGATACTGTCAATAAATATGGAACGTGCAGTATTTTAAAACGCGATCCATACATTTAATCAGTACATCTTGTACTCTCATAATGTCAACATAGAAAACGTATGCGTTCTGCTTTCGCTCTCGGCGCTTGAAACCTTTCAAATTAAATTGAAAATATTGAAATTAACATTGGAAATTTTAAAAGCATTATAGAATGCATTATCTATAAATAAGTTGTACGAAATAAAAGTATTTTCTTGTGCCATATTAAGTGTGCGCCACAAAAATTTTACATATACTGACGCGATAAATATTGAAGGTGTAGCATAGCTGCAGTGTTGCCATTTTAGACGGTTGCGATTTAGCCGGTTTCGGTTTAGCCGGAAGCCGATTTGTTAGCCGTTTTGTAAAAAAAATTAGCCGTTTCTAGCCGATTTTGCTATTTACCTTGCTTATTCTTAAAATTCAAATATATGTTTCCATATTTGACTAAGCGATCCAAAATCTGTTGGAAATGGCTACTACCCTTATCGGGAATAAAATCTTCACGACAGGCAGGGTTATATAAAATTGGGCCGATTTCGCTTATTTTTTATTTTAAACGAATATATTTTTTCTAAAGAAGGCCGTAGCGGGGATTTTTTTTCATAAAATGTTTATTATGAATGACTTAAATTTCAGTGTGAAGTTTTATTCGCAAGCTTCGAAAATAACAATTGTTTCACTCAAGTAGAGAAACTTGCAAATTTCTGCACGAACGCTAGTGTCCACGGATGCATTTCAAACATAAGAAATTTGTAAATAATTTTGAAAATTCTTTCAGAAGGGCAAGAAAAAAGATCCTCTAAATGTATATTTCTTGTTAGTCTGACTTTCTTCAACATACGTTCCAATTTCTTTGTCGTCGTAACTGTCGGGTTTCCTATACCGACTCTGGTTGAGATTGCATTTTAAAATCGCTCAAGCTTTTAAATTTTTAAATTTTATGAACCTCTTTATTCAAATTATCGTCGACAAAAAATTCAACCATATGCCACAATCATACGTTTTTCCTAATTACAAATTCTTGCTGGTAAAATTTTTCCAGCTTGAATTTGCCACTTCGAAAATATGTATGGGCCTTTATAGAGAAATTTATGGAAAAACTTTTGATTAAACACAACGAACAAAAGTTGCAATATTCTTCATATCTATTTTATATTTCACTGTTTATATTGCCAGGAAAATTGCGTTTAGTTACAAATACTGTTTTATAGTAATATTCAAAAATGCGGGAAGAAGAAATCCACTGAATTCAATGTGATGCATTTTCCACACATTTAGTGGTAGCTCGCCACTTCGCGTGTCAGCTGTTTATCTGCCCAGGGATTGGCAGTGCTGCCAAGTACGAAAACGAGTTCCTGGGAGCGCTCTCAGAAAAAATGAGAGAGTTTCATATCTAGTTATCCATGCTAATACCTTTCTTAAGAGCCGTTTACATAAGAATTTTGATCCGCTTTGACAGATAAGTGGAATGCATGATTTGATACGAGTCTTGCTAAATAGAAACGAAGCAAAATCATGAGCAACTCTCAACTTTTGCGCGCTTTGACCGTCAGCTGTTTACATGTATATTTTCTCGTGCGCTGGACTTTATATTTAAAGACAAAAATACGTTTAATATGAATTGTTATTGCTAGTATTTTTGAGTATTATCATATTGTTATCTATTTAACACAGGTCAAATATGGAGAAAAAAGAAGAACGCAGAAACTGTCAAAGCGTTTATTGTAGCACACCTTCGACGCCTCACGCTTTGTTAAAGTTCCATCTATCAAGCCAAGCGAGGAAAGTCGAATGTAAACGGCCCTTTAAGTGCTGGGCAACTGTAGAGGCATATTATATTAAAGAAATCGACTTTATATTTCTATCGATAAGTTATTGTCTTTGTTGATCGTGTTCAAGCGGGAAATTGGGTGATCGCGCTGGCAAATATATTAAATATACAAACAAAAGCTTTTAAAAGACAAAAATTAGGACAAACTGGACATTTAAATAAGATTTTAACTAAAATGGAAGAAAGTGTGGCTGTCAACAGCACGCCAAATGAATTAGCATACAGCGAAAATTTTAAGGTAAGCCAAGTTATCATTTCGATCATGTTAACAAATGCTGTGATAAAAATATTAATTGAGATATACCATAACCCTTGCCGTCGTTCTTTAATATCATCCCAT